GAATGAGCATGAATCCCAAATACATCCAATTCTCCCCACCTGGTCCCAGGCTTGCTCTGTCTGGAGCTGGGGTGGGCTTAGCATGCAAGGGGGCCATATGGCTTCTCAACAGTCCACAGTGGAACTACCAGAAGTGGGCAGGAGCCATTAGTACCTCTTCTGGGGGCTCCATCATCATGGCACAATGGAGAGGGGCTCTTGATGGAACGCCTGTGTTGGTGTAGTTATTTTCTCCTGCCAACCCCCTCCAAACTTTCCACAACCTGAGGATCCAGGAGAGGAAAGAAAGGCCCTTTCTTTCTTAAGATAAGAGAAGTGATCTGAGCTTCAGGAGGTGGCAGCTGGCAAAAACACAATGGCCCTGGCCTGGGGACTCAGAGGCAGAGGATGAAGGATCCCCTTGCCCAGCCTGACCCTGTGGCTGGAGAACGCCCACAGCTTGACCCAGGATAATGGGGCCTGAGCTCTCCTGACCTGGAGCCCTACCATGATAGGGGCCCACACCCAGCTGAGAAGTCTCCTAGACTCTCCTGAACACAGAGCTGTGCAATGGATACCTTTCAGAGGTAGAGCTCAACTAAGAACACAGAAGGTACCTCTTTATTACAAAGCACGGTCAGCAGGAGATGCTAAAATAGCTCAGCGGCCTCCACATGGCTGTGGACAGAGGCTAAACTCACTCTAAGCTCTCAGGGCTCCTGTGAGTGTTCTATTAAAAGAACAGCACCATCAGAATACTATAAGATTATTAATTTTATTATTTGGTTCTCAAACCTGGCTTCCCCTCAGGATAAGAACAAGTTTGTTGGCTTAAATCTGTTGGAAATGCTTGGCACAAATTCAGATTGATGCAGGGGGAGGGGGGCTGTTGGTTGCCACAGCAACTGAAGAACCATTTTTAATTTCACTCTGTGAACCATAGATGCCATACACACAGGGAGGCTGTTGGTCATGGGTCCCAAGCCCCCCAGGGCTAGGCTGTATGCCCCAGAAGCCACCATTTCCAGTCTCTGTGGCTTCTGATTCAGGTTGTCAGTCTCCAAGAAAAGGCTGGAAAGCAAGCAGCTGCAGAAGCTCTGTAGTGTTCAGGAAAGAGGCCCATCTGGCAGGGACAGCAGCCACATCTGAGGCCATCCTTATTCCGGGGATGTAGTGTTCCTCTCAAGCACTGTGTCCTCAGTAGCCTCAGCCCCTCCAAGAAAGGGAACATGTCTCAGTCAGTGTCCTGAGTCCCCTCAAACATCTTCAGATCTTCCATTGCCTTAATCTTACATGCAACACTATCTTAAGGCCAGCTTTGTTGCCTGTCTGTGTCCTGGGTCCTGCTCTCCCTTAAACAGACTGTGGAAGCCATGAGATGCAGAGGGAAGCATGGCCTCCCATGACCTCAGGCCCTGCCCTCTTAGCCACTCAGGCAGCCTGGCCTACTCCTTCCAAACTTGGCCTCAACTGGGCTTTGTCCCTAAGGAGCCAGTACCCACAGCATCAAGCCCTGCCAGAGACTGGACAGGCTCTCCTAGCCACCCTTGGTGGGAGGCAGCAATATCTAACAAGCCACTCCATATCTTCCTGTCAAGGAGGACTGTCCCTCCAAGAGATCCAAAGATTCAAAGGCTACTGGAGAGGCCAGGGATTTGGTCAAGAGTAAGCTGGAGTTACTTACCCTGCAATGAGACTGTCTGTTTTTTTTCTTCACAGGATGTCCAGCAAACTTAGCTTCCTGGAAAGGAGAACAGAGACTGAGGGCAATGGAGGGCCCTGTACCATCCATCTGCAGGAGAAAGCTATAAACTGAGGGAAAGTGCATTTTAATGCAGATTAAACTTCAAATGTACAACATACAAGAGCCATAGTTTCAGAGGTGAGTTCTCAACACTGGTGGGTTGAGGCTCATAAATGCTTCTTTTGAAGGTCAACAGTCTTTGATGCATTAGGATTTCTAGCAGAAAGTAGCCTGGGTGGTGCCTGTGGTTCCACCTCCACTGCAAGCTGGGCTGAGTCCTCCCTCAACAAGGCCTTCTGCAGCAGGGATGGGGACAATGGCCTCAGAACAAACAAAGCCACCACCTGTTCATATACAGCCTATGAACAAAATATTCTTACAGTTTTAAATTGTTGAGAAAATTCAGAAAAACAATGTTTCATTGCACACAAGATCTACATGAAATTCAATTCTTGGTACTTGTAGATTATTCTTCATCAGCATCCAACCATGCCCACTTGCTGATTGGTCACCTACACTGCAGTGTGGAACACTGCCCAAAAAAGCCGCAGTCTGGCTTTTACAGAGAGGGGCATCTAGTAGATGGTCAATTCCATATGTCCACTGGGGATGTTGTCCTTCATTTTTTAAACAAACAAAAATCAAAATATTGCTGAGGAGTTTTATAAAATTTGTTAACACCAGCTGACTGTTCATACCATAGATAAAGGAGATCATCCTGGACAACTGGGTGGTTGATATGATGGCCAGAGCTGAGGCCTCCATGACAAAGACAGAATCCCGCCATGGATGGCCACGTCACCTCACGCTCAAGACTTCCATCCCATCAAACATTGCATGAGCCAACTCCATGCAAAAAGCCTCTTCCTACATGAAACTCTATCTAGATGCAGATGTAGATACTCCCTCTTCTGTGTCTCTACAGGGACCACACTCAGATACAATTAAGCACCTTAGAAAATTTGCAGATAAAATTTGCCTTGAGTGAGGATAGACATGCAAGGGCAGAAAATGGCTTTTCCTCACCTAATAATTTTATCCTTTCCACAATGAGAAACTTGGCATATGTTTGAAATGATCTTAAGTTTTAGTTTACTTGGTTGCCATTGTCCTGGTCTTGTCCTTTTCTTTTGCTTTCCTCTTTTGGCCAGTTAAAAGACAGGAGGTCTGCGGGTGTTCTTAGCCACATGCCTCTGTGACACCAAGTAAGTACATTTCTTTCTGGCAAAAATTGGGAAAGGTGAACAGTATAGTGGGTCTGTGTCCCATGGCCACCTCTGAGGCCACAGGACAGAGTCCTCACTGAGGAACAGCATAAGGAAGGGCTCAAGGCTGCGAACTGTCACCTGGTCACCTTAGGACAGGGCAAGTGCAGACAATGCAGGGCTCTACAAAGATAGCTCCCAGGCGCAGTGGCAAACACTGCCCTAGGCACCACCTCATTGAGGCACATGACCATGACTTCCAGCAGTCATTGTGTTGAGAGAAAGACCTCAGGATCAAGGTTGCCCTGAGATCACAAAAAAGCCACAGAGTCAACTGAGCTCCCCAGAATGGTGCATCTGTGGTCCAGTACTAATGACCAGGCAGCTCCCAGGGCAGCAGTAAATGCAGGGTGGATGATTGGCAAAGCACGGGACTGCTCTGTGCCTCAATTTCCCCATCCCATCAGAGTGCCTCTCTGTGTCAAGTGCAGAGCATGGCGTGCCACATGGAGCATCACAGCACCCCTGCCCCCAACACCACCCCAGAGACTGGGTCTAGAGCAGATGCCCTCTTCAAGTAGCTCCAAGGATTGGGAAATGAGGTAGTCACAGAGGGGCTTGGGGCAGCTGGGAGTGGGCAAGCTAAGTGGCCCAACACTCCATCTCCCATGAAGCCTGAGCCCAGGCTTTGAATCAGGAGACTCCAGTTTCCACCGAAACCCACTTACTCTGAGGCCATGACCCACCCCTGGCTCAGCTCCTCTGAGAAGAGGTTTAGGGACAGCACGCAAGCTATGCACAGAGCCAGGCACCAGAGCCAGGCATGAGAGCCAGGGCCTCCTCTGACCACTTCTGGGGTCCTAGACCACACCACGATTGCCTGAGAACCCCTTGAGGGGGGAGAGGGGTGGCCTGTGTTCACCCTTGCACTGCACACCTGGGTCACCTCCACGGAGATGTGAGGGGCACAGGTGTCAAACAGAGTCCTCCACAGTCTGGGGTCCATCCTTGCCCCTCTGCCTTCCCATTTTTCTAGGACCATTCCCCAAGTGCCACCAGGGTGCTCCTGGCTTCCTTCCAGCCCCTGGGGATCCTCCTAGGAACTCAAGATACCTTGAGGCCTCCATGACTTACAGAGAGCTGGAAGAGACAAATACCCCTGGGTTTCATTCAATGAAGTTCATGATTCATTTCTACATCCCCATAGAAGAGCACTAGGAGCACCCTGGGATGAAGGGCGCTCAGCCATACCCTGATCAGAGGCAGCATGCTCAGAGGCTATGGAAGCTGGAGCGGCAGTACCCCTCTATCTGATTCTGCCTTTGTGATTTTTATTAGCAACACCTCCCCTGCTAGGAGTTCCAGCTTCAGGACCCTCAAAATCCAGGATGGCAGGGAGCTAAGGACCCCTGCAGAAGACACCAGCATCTGAACACCCAGGGGAATAAAGTGGCCTTGCAGGGCTGAAGACCAAGGAGAGGAACAGGTTGAAGCCATGGGATAAGTTCCCTGACTGGGCAGGTTCCAGTCAAATTGCCAAACTTTGACACTGGCACTGTCCCAGGAGCTTCACCTTGTGAAGAGTCCCTAGCCAACCCAGACCCACAACTTAGGCAACTGTGGCCTGGGCAAAGCTGCCCCACTGCAGGTAGGATGCACTCGCCTCCTCTCCATCATGTACCTCCTCTGCAGCACCCTGTTCTGTCACCCAAACTTCAGGGAGAGGGTGCCCCAGATGGGGGGTGCTAGCTGGCCAGCCAGACCCTGTCCACATGACAAGACCAGCCCTGCTGACTCATGGCTGGGATGGAGTCGGCAGACTTTACCTCAGTTTTGCCATGTTTGAATTTAACAATATTTTAATACAAGGTCTATGAAAATTGCTCCAAAATCTATTTCCTTTTTCTCATTTCTGTTCTTGGAGCCCTCAGCAGACAGGGATTATCTTTAAAAATGAAATATCATCCTGTCCTCCTTTCAGGGAAATGCTTTAATGTGAGTTGTCTGGATCTGTTGGAAACAGAGTAGCAAACCCTGGTCTGTTGTCTCTTTAAATCGGCTCTGCAGTGTGACAGGCGGCTGGCCGGGCTGGCTGGGAAGAACCATTCCTACCCTGCCGCAGGGAGCCCGGACACTGCTGCCGCCATCCGTGCCTCCCCCAGTCCCCATGGTTACGGCTCCTGCTTCCCGGCCGGTTCCTCATCCCTGGCTGCCACCACAGAAGACAGGCGAAGGCGGCTGGCATCCCCCAGCAGAATCCTGGAAACTGCCCGCTAAGCTCGCACTGAGTGCCTGCTCTCCCCAGCTCTGACTCATCCTTTCCCGGTGCAGAGCACTGTCACTGCCGCTGTGCACTGGCCACAGCCTGTCACCAGGCTGCAGCCCTGCAATCTGTTGATAACTCCACTTTGGCGCTCCAGTCCAATGCCTCTTGTGATGGAAAGCTGTTCCCCAGCACAGGGAACCCGCTACATCTCACCAGTGACAGGAAGCACAAGATCGGTGCCTCTCCAGCTGTTTTTGCCAGAATAGGTGAGAAGTTGGGCTGTCATCCTGGGGTCTGGGGGTGGAGGGTCTTCAGGAAGGGGAGACTATGGAACTAGCGTGGGAAAGCAAGGGTTGAACTGCTGGCTGCAGTGTCTACTCACCAGGGTCGTTTCTCAGGCAAACATGCCAGCCCAGAGGTGAGACAACTCCTGATACTGGGAGGTAGATTCTGAATAACTTTGGGTGAAGGGGAGGCACAGAACCACAGCCAAAACCAAGCAGCCTTCGGCACCGGCAAGAGCATCTGTGTGAAGATGCCAGCCCCTGAGTCTGGCCACGATAAGCAGCAGAGGGTTCTGCCTGCCAGGTCAGGCTGTGTGCTGGGAGATTAATTCAGGTTTATTTAATTCTCTTGATTTAAACTGACAGACATGTTTATTTGGCTTTGTGCAGCCTGAAACGATTGAGTTTAGTTCTTGTATTAGGATGGTGAGCACAGATTGATTTTTAAATAAGGAGAGGGAATGTTGCCCAAGAGAGCAGTGTCGGGCTGCTGGCACTTCCCTCTGAAGTCCCGCACAAGCCCAGCCTGTCACCTGGATCTCCCAAATGCTCCAGACAGAGCCTGAGCCAGCCACTCCAACAGGCTGGCCCAGGTCTAGAGAAGCTGAGAAGGTGCAAACTTCGGAAGGTACTGGCTGCTCCCTACTCTGCCATCACCCAAGTGCTAACCTGTAACAGACATGAGAGGCCTCAAGCTACAGACAGGAGAAGGGCCCTCGGCCTGTGCCTCTGACCAAGTGCTGTCTTTGCAGATGGGTACAACCCACGGACCCTCACCAGCCCCCTCAGGGTCACCCTGAGGCACACTGCCCTGGAGTTTGACCTAGAGCTGCTGTCTGGGACTTTGACCTTCTGGATGGCCATGGAGCCTGGTGGGGAGAAGGGTGCGACATAATTGTCTCTGCCGGCAACACCGCCCCCACCGGTGCTCTCACCTCAGTAACTCTGCAGGGCTCATGGTGAGTACTCCCAGCTCAATGGAGCCCTGCCAGCCAGCTGGCCAGACCAAGGGCTGTCAGCCCCTGTTGGAGAAGACCCAGGCTGGAAAATAAGTTGTTAGTCAGTCAACAGCAGTCCGGCATGTACTCAGTCCTGGGGTGTGGAAGCTCCATGGGGTGGGGAAGAGGGATGCAAGATCTGACAGTGCTTGGGTCTTGGGCAGCCTGCGAGGGTTCCTTTTGCTTGCCAGCTCACTCACCGCTGTTCATACTAATTAGCTGCCGCCATACGGCAATGTCAAATCATTTAATTGAGAGAGTGGGGTCCATCCCTGAGGGCTTCCCTCCATGCTCCAGGGAAAGCTTGTCTGACCCTGAGCTGAGATCCCTCCTATTTGGTGCCCACGACCAGGTCACAAGGCCTTTCCCCTTCCCAACAGAAAGTCAGTAGGCTTCAGTAGCCAAAGCAGTGATTGGGAGGGGGAAATAAAGGGTACAGTGTGGTCAGCTGGCTGGAGCAGCATCCGGGACCCAGGGGGGCCCATTCCAAAGACTTCTGCAAGGTTTTATTGTGGTTACCACCAGCCTGGAGTCTGGGAAGGTTGACAGGTGAGTAAATAATGCATTGTGTGTGTTTGTAAGGGACAGCTGACAGGGGCGTGTGCAGAGAATGCCAATGGCCTGTTAGGACAGTGCCTTCACGGCCCAGATGCCTCGTGAACACCTCAGTGCAGACCAGAGTGTCTGCCTCATGAGGAGCATTCTGAGTCACTATTTCATTTTCTTCTTGTTGGATTCCAAATGTCCAAATGAAAGAGATGCTTTCTGCCAAAATCCAGCATCATCTTAGACTGCTGTTCCGAGCTTGGAGGCTGAAGGCCATCAGCCGCATCCCTTGCAGACATCTGACAAGGTTACGTGGACAAGGCTCATGCAGCTCTCTGAGGACAGCAGGCTGGCCCTGAGGCTCCTTGACTGTTGCCTCCAGGTGCCACACCCAACATGGCCATCTTCTGATGGCATTATCCAAGGCTTTCTGTCTTCAAATTTAGGATGTTTTCAAAATGGAAATTTGCCCTTGGCAGGTAACAGGCAAACTGAAAGGTGCTTTAGGAGGCAGGAGTGGTCATAACACCACCTTGTGGCCTTTTGAAGGGTTGGGGGAACCCAGTGTCCTGGCTCAACCCCCGCCTGTCTGCAACCTAGAGAACCTTTGAACATCTCCTGCACATAGTCCCCCATCCAGAAAGCCCTGTGCTTCCACCTTCCCCTCTCCCTGTCAGTCAGTCCATGCAGGGGACTCATCTTAGTCCCTGACAGCCCCATGGAAATCTCTTTTGCACACCAGAGTCACCCCTGGTCCTAGCAGCCCCAAGCTGCCCTTCAAGGCACCTCCTGTCCCCACACTGTAAAGTCGGCCCAGTCATATGTGCCTGAAGAATGTGGAATTTCAGCAGTCTGTTGGGTTATTATTCTTAATAAGTAACATTCACACCTGTGAGAATTTCTGAAAGGCACAGAAAATGTGTGGGGTTTCCCTAGCTAATTCTGGGGAGCTTACTTTCAGCACGTCTTGAGGCTGTGGTGCAGATGCTTGGGCAGGCCCACTTGAGCCTAGGGACAAAGAAGGGTGGGGTGGTCCTCGTCCTGCCCAGCCTTAGCTAATGTATCATGGCCATCAGCCTGGTGCCCACTGGACCTTCCCTGACACCTATCCAGAAGCAAGCAGCCTGCTCAGCTCCCAACTGTAAGTTGTAGCTTCTGAAACACACACCTGGGTTGCAATAGTGCTGGATTCTGAGCCTCTTTCCAGCAGGCCTGGGGCTGTGCCATGTTCCACTCCCTGAGCATGCTCCTTTCCCCAGGTGTGCTCTGTATCTGGCTCTTCGCACTCTGATGGGAGAGTGAGTCACTGCTTTCCAGAGGGGCCATGTCCTTTAGGACACATATCCAATATGTGAGACCAAGGGCACTTCCACCCCTGAGTAGTGATCTGCCTCACAGTTGATGATAAACAAAGCAGACATGGTATGGCTTGTTTCTGCAATAGGTGCTGTTATTGTTTAAACCCAGCAGACACTGAGATGCATATGATTTTGCACTCTGCCATCTATAATCCTCATACTTAGCTCCAAGAAAGTATGTTCTTAAAGGGAACAAAATGACATCTGTGAATTCCAGTAAAAATTGTTCAGATCTTTGTATTTTCTTTCTTTCCACTTTCTTGAGAATTTCTCAGTCTGGTGAACATGCACAGTTCTGGTCTTCCAACAATGCTGTTCTTGGTGATAAGAACTAAATGGGAGGATGGATAGTGTGACGGGTGTGGAATAGTGTGGCATGGGTGGTGTGGTGTGGTCTGATGTGGTGTGGGATGGTGCGATGTGGGATGGTGTGGAGTGGGATGGTATGTTGTATATATAGGGTATAAGATAGTGTGGTGTGGGATGACATGGTGTGGGATCAGATGCTGTGGTGCAATACGGTATGGTATAAGATATAGGGCAATGTGGTATGGGAGGGTATAGCATGGTATACCATGGGGTGGGATGGCTGCTATAGTGTGGAATAGGTGGGATAGTGTGGCGCATGTAGGATGTTACATATAAAAAGATGTAGTGTAAATTGGTGTGGTAGAGAGTGGTATGGCATAGGATAGTGTGAAAAGGGATGGTAGAGTTTGGGATAGTATAGGATGAGGTAACGTATGTAGGATGCTGTATGTGGAATGGTGTATGTAGGATGGTATACATAGGGTGACATATGGTGTGGTATAGGATGGCATATTTAGGATGGCATGGTGTAGTGTGGTGTGTATAAGATGGTGCCTATAGGATGCCATGGTAGCCTCCTGGTGCCACTTATTTCTGGTAGTTGCAGCATTTGAGTCAGGTTGATCAGATATGCTTCTCCCATCCTCTAGTGTTTGTGCCAGTGCTGGAGCACCATGTCTGGGTTTAGTGGCTTTGCTTTGGTGTATTATCTACCAGAAGCAGGGCTCAGGAGCCCAGACAACTTGCTGGGTCTCTGCTTTCTCTGGATTCAGGGCTGACCTCACTGAGAGTAGAATGGTCTTTGCCACATTGTTCAGGGGACCCAAGGTCAGGAGAGCCAGAAGTCAGGCCTGCTTGGAGTGAGGGGGGCATCATAATACATGGTGCATTTAGAGTACCCTCGTGACTATTATTTCCTTTTCCATACATAAATGCCCTACATTTAAAAAATGGATGGGATTAAGACCCCACAGGGACCAAACACAGATGGAAGGTAGAGACTTCTGACCCTGGAACTACAGCTCCATGGGATGTAGACAAGCCACAGGAAAATGCCCTTTCTCTACAGTGCCCTGAAAGGTGAGTCAAGAAGGCTGGGAGAACAGGAGACACAGGTGTCCACTTGTGTGAGGGCAGTTCAGGAAGGACCAGAATCAGGACCTGGACAAAAAAGAGGGGATGAGACAGTCACAGATCTTCATTTTTATAAAATGTGTGACCCTCATATGCTGACTTATGGACCTTAACAAAGGCCCACAAAAGATTTTATGTCACGATTACAAATATTTTAGAACTTTTAACAAGTTTTCAGTCTGTTGATTTTTATTCAGTTTAATATCTAAATTACTAAAAACTTCTACCTTTATCTCACAGATGGAGTTTGTCATCCCACCTAACATTTCTCCTTAAATTATGAAATTTAAGCAAGTAACTACAAGTCTAGAAGAAGAGTCTCTGTGATATTTTAACATGTTTTTCTCCAAATCTCTTTATAATCTACCTAGACTATATGCCCCTCCAAAAAGAGAACCATAACAAGCTATATTTATGTAATGTCCAATTAGAGTAATTTGTTTTTCAAATGAATAAATTACTTATCTTCTGCCTTCCCCAAAAAACACTTTCATGAAAGGTTGATAGATCAATAAAATGCAATTATCATTAAAAAGGCAGACAAGGGAATGCACAGGGCCGTAATTAAATCAACCTGAGTTGGCACAGAATCAGGGAAAACCTAGTTACTGCCTCAGCCGGAGCCTACTGGGTTGGCCAATGGACACCTCACTGTGAGGGAAGGAATGTGACTTCAGACAGTGGCATTTGAAGAAGTCACTTTCCCACATCTGACTGTCTGATCTCTACACATCACTTGATTGACCTCTTTCTTCCTATCTTTTCTCCTTTTTGTCCTCCTTAACACCTGACTCAGTCAATCTGCAGAACACACCAAAAAGGGTACGTCCAACTAAAATAAGAAAAGATGTAAAAAGAAACCAAGATTCAAGAAATTGCTGCATACCAGGCCCAGGGTGCTTGTGGAACTATTAGCTCTAAGGCCAGCCCAGGGAAAGGGGGACACCCTTGTTTCCCAGGAGAGCAGAGGTGTCTCCAAAGCGGCTTCGGCCATCAGGCCCTCTTACATGTGTGGAAAGGAGCAGCATCCCAGGCTCTGGCCATTGTCTTGCCCCTGAGGGTGCTCTAGGCTTCCGCAGTCTTTTGACCTGAGAGTGATGCTCCTTCACTGTTGCTTCTCCAAAGAGCACTGTGGTTTCACAGCTTCAGAGGGACTTGTCCACCTGTCAGGCAGATTCTGTCTAACCACACCCTGGATCATCATAATTTTGCCCGAGGAACATTTGCATGGTAGACTCTTCTGAGAGAAACTTGCCCATGTGTGAACTTTAAAACATAAAATATATCTATTTCTATTTTGCATTACCTACTTTGAATTTTAAATGTCACCTCTAAAAATGTAGAAAGTCACTGCTGATAACTGTAATTTGGAGAAAGAAAAAATAAGAAACCAAACCAAATCCCTATTTCTTATAGAGCTCATTGCTGACCCCCAGGTCATCTTATCCATGGTTACAGAAAACTCTCCTCACACAGGTGATGGTGATGCCCCTCCTTGGCCTCTCAGACTCGGAAAATTGCTCACTTCAAAACTGAGCCTTCAGACAAGAATCAAGTCCCCTACCCCAAGGTGGTGCACCCTTCAAGTCGAGCCTCCTGCATAACGCCTCTGCCTCCTACACTGGCTCCCTGGGAGGTCTGCATGTTGCAGAGGTCGGCCTGTTGCCTGAAGCACTGTTCTGATTTTTAATTTGGCTTCCAGGAAGGGGCTTTGTTATGTGTATTAAAACCCACAGATAAGATGTGTCCAAATGCAAGCTCTCCTAAGGGTGTCCTGGCGACAGACGTGAAAGGACACAGTTCTTGGACATAGTACATCTGGGATGCTTCAAACAGTGTTTGGGATGTACAAGCTGAGCCCCTCATCCACCATGACTATCCTGTCCCCCGGGCCCCTCCCCAGCAGAACAGGAGTCTGAAACCAGCCAGAAGGCCAACCCACCAGGTATTCTCACCACAGTGACACCAGCCCCAAAGAAGCCTGTGGAGGACTTGTGAGCCCCAGGCCCTTCATGATAGATGCAAAGTCCTAGTTCCAGGTGACCATGGAGGAAATATCTTGGTAGCAGCAGATGAGAACAGGATACAGGGAACAGACCACACTGGAAAGCTCTCTCACATATATATGGAAATAAACTTATAACAGTGGCCAAAGGGGGTCAGTGTCATGGGTGGGGAGCCGACTGACTCCCATGAAAAGACCACTGTGTACAAGAATATGGGGACAGCACTTATGCCCAGTTGAACCTCAAGTTCTTAGAGTCTCGGGCCTTCCCACCTCTCAGAAGCACAGAAATATGCAGATAACTTGATGTCAGGATTGCACCAGGAAACATGCTTTCCCATGACTTCTGTAGTTATTTCCATTTTGCAGCAAGTGGCTGAACCATGACAGACATGGAATGATGGCCTTGGCACTCATAAGGGCCACACAGAGTCCCCAGTCACCAGATGTCAAATATCCAGAAGTTGGGCACCAAGGAAAGATTTCTGAGATCTTCCCCGGCAGATCAGGTGTCATGGAAGAAGCAGCCCCCGAGGGGGATCTGGGTGGAGTCCTGAGCCAACCCTGCTGCAGGAGGCATCTGATGCTTTGGGGCCTGGGGGTCTCCTTTTTACAAAGGAGGGGAAACAAGGGCAGGGGTCTCTGGCCAGCCTTACCTTCTCAAAATCCCTCAGGGGGATCGGGGATTTAGCTCAGTGGTGTCACTGACTGACTCGCATGCACAAGGGCAAGGTCCTGAGTTCAATCTCTGGTACAAAAAAAAAAAAAGCCCTCAGGGGCAAATTCCCAGAGCGTACTGCAAAGCTGAGCTGAGTCATGAGCTTGGGTCCTTGGCGTCCAGGAAGAAAGGGCCAGCTGCAGACATAGCTTTGCGGAAATAAACTGTACCACTACTTCTCTCAGCCCCATAGGTGCCTGTCCTTGCTCAGACAAAGGCTCCTTCTGGCAGGTGTTGGCTGCTCACACTCCTAAAGGAGGTGCCCTGGGTTGAAGACATGAAGGCCAGAATGGGGCTTACCTCCTAAGCAGCACCAGCCTTCAAGTATCCAGACCACACACCCCTCCCAGTGCTTCAGGCCAAGCATGGGCAGGTTACTGGTCAAGCAGGAGCGGGCTGGACCTCAAGATCTCCTGAAGAGGTTGTTTCAGACCATGACATCCCTGCCACCAGAGATGCAGCTGGCATCTCCAATGTCATCATGAGCTCATGTTCTGGTGATAAAATGGGCTATAAGGCACCACGAGTCCTGAAGCCCTATGTCATCCAGAGAGGCATTTGTGCTGTCTAGGTCCATTTCTGATCCTCCTGTCCTGCACTATTCACGGCCAAGAGGCTAAAGAATTGGGAGCAGCAAGCCCTAACTAATTTCCCACTTAACCAGAACATCTTCCTAGGACCATGGGACCAGAGACTTAGCCCTCTGCCTGAAACACAAGGATGAGGGCATCACCCTACAGGACCCAAAAAGGGCAAACCTCCAGAAGTTCTAACATTTTTCAACTGAGACATTCAGTTTTACTCTACCACAGAAAACCATGCTGTCTTTTGAACTTGGACCTTGAACCTTTACTTTGGCTGTGATGCACAATGGGGTTGGGGATATTAGAAAGAGAGCGAGGTCCTCAGTCCCGTGTCTATATTTTTTATAACCACTTCTCTTTCTCCATCAGCTTGAGTCAACAGTGCTCAGATCTGCTAAAATGTGATACAGAATTCCCCTGGGAGACATTTAAAAGTAGAATGTCAAGGGGTGTGAGGTTCAGAAGTGGGTTGGGGAAATTTGACTTTTCACTGCTTTTCCGGTGGCCCCATCTAGACATCCAAGCAGGCGTGCTGCCATCAAACAAGTACATATCAGAAGCCAGTGCTGTGCCCTGCCCTCTGCCAGCAGCATTTGACAGAAAGGGAGCTGGAGGCAGGCCTCTGGCACTGCAGAAATGCTGCCTCCCTCTGGGAGCTGCTTTCAAAGCCACATGAAGACATTCTTGGCTGAGCAGACCTAGAGAAGACCAGTCCCATGCAGGTGACTGGCTTGCTGCAGACCCCCTCCACTCCAATGGAGCATCCACTGAGCAGGGTCTTCCTCAGCCACCAGCCTGACCCCTCCTAAGTGACCTGACAAAGCAAAGCTCAAATCAGAAAGTGCCTTGAGCCACTTGGAGAGGGGGAGGCTGAACCTGAAAATGAAAACTCAGGTGACTGGCTGTGTGTATAGACTCTTGGCTCTACAGTCATATAGTCACCCCTGGTCTTCTCTGCTTCTTTTCTAGGATTTGAAGACTGTCCTCTCCCTGCCCCAGTACCCAGGGGAATTCCTGCACCCTGTGGTGTATGCATGCACTGCAGTCATGCTGCTGTGCCTCCTTGCCTCCGTTATCACCTACATCATGCACCAGAGGTGAGTCTGGCACAGGGGAATGGGGTCTTCATGCTACCAGAAGAGACACCATTCTATTACCCTCAAGTGCAAGCCCCTGAAGCTTCGAAGACTTCACCCCCTCCCCATAGCAAGATGTCCCCCAGAAGGTACTTCACACATTATGCACCAGCTCAAGCCTGCCCACACTCAGGGTGCCTATCATGGGAACCAGCAGGGGACAGTGCCCAAGGAAAGCCCAGCTCTTCCATTCTGGACTTGCATCAGGTCTTCTCAACAGCAGCCTCCACGTTCTTCTCAAATTAGGTGAAATAAGTCCTTCCTAAAATGAGTTCACGTACATTGAGACCCTGCCTAGAGGCCTGCAAAACATTTGATATGCCTTTACATTGTTCCTTTTTTTCTGGGAAGGGGAGTATAGTTGGATTTATAATTCTGAGCTAGCTTTTGGCCACCTTGCCTGAAAGCAGGAGTGGGGGTGACCTCACTGCATCGTTTGGAGATGCACTGGAAAGTGTGAGGAGGGGTGCCAGCCACAGCCACACTCCAACCCATAATCAAAGTCATGGGTAATACTTAGGCCTTGGCCATAGGCACAATCATAGGAAAAAGCTTGAGTGCATCCAATGCTGTGGTCATGCTAAGAAGCTCAGGCTCACCCAAGGCCATGGTCATAGGAAAGGGATGAGTAAGGCCAAGGCCACAGTCATGGGTGAGCTCTGGCAAGTGCAAAGCTGTTGTCTTAGCCTGTTTGGCTGTTATAACAAATTAACACATATTAGGAGGTTGATAAACCATCATTTAGAATAGAAATTGAGTTCTCGCAGTTCTGGAGGCTGGAAGTCCAGAAGAAGACACCATCAGATTTAGTGTCTGGCAAGGGCCTGCTTCCTGGTTCATAGGTGGCACCTTTTCCCTGTGCCCTCACATGGTGAAATGGGCAAGACAGCTCTCTGGTCTCTTTTATAAAGGTGCTAATCCTAGTTATGAGGGCTCTGCTAAAACACCTAACTTCCTAATACCACCACATTGGTGACTAAGTTTCAACATATGAATTTGGGAGTAATACATACATTTAGACCATAGCAGCTGTGATTATGGGAAGAAGTTTGAACACATTCAGGGTCATGATGAAGTCAAAATTATAAGTTTAACAACATCAGTCCTGGCCATAGCCAGCTGGGCAGAACCTTAGACATGTTTGTGGCCATGGAGATGTTCTCGTCCACAGACAGTATCCCAGTCCAAGCCACAGGCACTGAAACACCTGGAGTCATGCTTATAGTTACATAGCCATCACCGTCTTCCTGAGGAGTAGTCATCTACTCAGAGAGGGCAGAACCCCTTCCGGAAGTCAGGGGCATGACTTCTGTCACTGAGACTGTGGATAAGTCATAGTCTTAGGGCCTTAACACTTTCATCTGTCAAATGGTCAGATTGGTCAAGATTTTGCAGAAGCTCTTCCAGGTATAACACTCTGTAAGGTGATCTACCACACAGTCATCCAGTGGCAACCCACTAAGCTGCACACAGCACAGTCAACTCTCTGTCCCATGATCTAGTCCTTTGAACATGTTGCTCCCAGCTCACTAGGGGGTTACTATTCCTGCTGTGGACAGAGCTTTGCATTTGGACAAGAGTTCTTGTTTCCATGCTGTTCTTTGACATGCTGGTTCCTACATGAAATCTCCATTTCCCACAGTGCCATCCGGATCAGCAGGAAAGGCCGGCACACGCTCCTGAACTTCTGCTTCCATGCAGCTCTGACCTTCACTGTGTTTGCAGGTGGCATCAACCGCACCAAATACCCAATCCTGTGCCAGGCGGTGAGTGCTGTCTGTGTCTCATTGTGCCACAAAAATGAAAGTGTGTTTATCAACAGTCCTACAAAAGGGGAACTGTGTGTTAATTGTCTTGTTTATGAACTAATATTTTAGTATTTGCTCAGCTGTTGCTCATGAAGGGAATAGTTAGGCATATACCTAGCAGGTCCCTATTACAGTTTCTCTCCATCTGAAGCCAATTGTTTTGCTCACCATTTGATTCTATAAAATAATTTACTTTCAATTGGACCAGCTTGTTCTGAGACCTATGTGATATGCAGCTCCAGTGATGGCAAACCTTTTAGAGCTTTCAGTGATACAAACAGCCATAGGTTTGCCACTACTGAGCTAGGCATTTACTGTTCAGCAAATGGTGACCTTCCTGAGAATCAGGCACAGATGTCTTTCCTGAAGAAACAAGCAGGGCAGGATCAGGAAGGACCAAGTGAAGTCTCCTAGGTGCCAACCTTACCTTGCCATCAGGAGGAGCAGCTGTGGCATTTGCAGCTCACCAAGTTGTCCTCAGTGGGCAGCACCCTTGGCAGTTCTGTCCTCTCTCAGGGAAAGGGGGAGCTTGGAAGGATCTGAGACTTGAAAAGAACAGTGAAAGTCGCCAAATTGATCCTCATCACACTGGTGACCTGGCTTTGGTTTAAAAGAAGGAAATATAAAGTAGCTCTAGCTTGTGGAAGAACCCATGGTAGAGACCCTCCCATTAAAACCAAACATAGTCCTGCTCCCATTGGCCTTGGTCTTGGGCCCAGGAAGAGAGTCCAGCTACAGTTCCAGGATGTCACCCATATGTGCACCCAGCCTCTATGCCAGCTCTGTGTCTACAAATGGGACCATGCCCAGGGACTCAGAGCAACTTACCAAAGACTCCTGCAGTTTCTGTCACTTCATGGGCTAGTGCTTGACTTGGGGATTGTCCTGCTTCTTTGCCCTTTTGTTATTTTGAACTCAATCAAAATCTATTGACAGCACCCTTCTACAGGCCCATATGATCCTGTACTGATGTCGATGACCATCAGCCATCCCCTGACCTCTCCACCTGCACAGATGGCCCTAGGCGAGGATGAGACACTTTTCCCACAGGGGCGCTTCAGAGAAAATTCAGGCTGTGAGCACATACCTCCCTCCCTGTGTAGTTCCCATGCCCACCCGACACTGGCTTGATACAGCCATGGGGCTACTTTCTTTCCCAGCACTGACCCAAGTTGAGGCTAGGAGTGTTCTGTGAGCCAGTTACCTATGGCTGAGAGACATTGCTACTGCCCCAGAGCCCTGGGTACCAAAGGATGTCTGGAATGTGTGCCTGCATGTCGTCTCCACACCCCACCTAGGCATGATTCTGCAAAACAGTTGGCAGCACAAGCATGAAGGGAGGCTGGGGGGCAGACAGTTTCTGTCTTCATGCCTCTCATGAGCTGGGAACAACCACAGGGAGCACAGGGAAGTCCTGTTTATGCCCTACTATAAATGCCTGCCTGGGAGTGATCTGAAAGGCAATCAAGTGGGCCGTTATCTTTATGACTGCAGTTTGCCACCAAGAACTCCACAGCTAGGACCTGCCAGCCACACAGCCCACTGGAATTGCCTCAGGGTTTCAGAGAAATGGTGCCAGGGCCCTGCAGAAAACCTGTGACTATTCCCATGCTCTGACCAGCCCAGACAAGGATCATAGAGGCCAAGCACCCCATGGAGTTCAAGGGCCAGCACAGATGTTTGGTACAGAAGGTCAGGGGTGGGACTAGAAGGACCTGCAGAGTTCAGATCTGTGGAGGAGCTCATGCTGAGGTGGAAAATGTTCAATTCCTTGTGACAATCCTCAAGATCCCCATCAGAGGAAATGGCCCCCTCTTTGGTGACATAGGAAAGATCATGGCTCTTCAGATGCTGTCTAGATCTCCTGATTACATTTCCAGAACATACCAGGCCTCATTTACTCACACCCACTCGCTTGGCAAACATACCAAGCTGGTGCCAGGGCTTGCTGTGGGTGCAGGGAACAGTCATAAATACACTCATCGGGCTTGCAGTACGGAGCCGCCATTGGGGTGAGGGGGAGCAGACAAACACAGCAACAAGCCATTGGAAGATGCTGAGCTGCTAACATTGGGAAAAGAGCCAGGCTCAGCTCAACAGAGGTCATGAGTCTGAGGACTGCAGCTCTAAATGCATCCACCAAGCCCTGGAGGTAATAATCCCCACCACACCCAGATATTTAACTCTCCTATGCCTGCGGACACAAATGTGAATGTCTATTACCACTGAGAGCTTGTAAGCCAGAGCCCAGGCTGGTTCTGATCTGCAGCCTGGCAGCTAGGGAGGAAAGCTAGCCCGGTTCTCCCAGCACAGCATCTACAGTCATCAAGTGCTCAGCGGGGTGGGGAGAGACACCTGAGGAGGAGGAAGTTAAAGCTGTCCCTCCACCAACAACAACCTGTGACCACCATTCCCAGGCCCCTCCTCCTGTCCACATGTAGCTCAGCATCACAACAGAACAACCAGGAAAACTCTGAATGGCTGCAGAGAACAGAGAGTTGTTATGGCAACAGAAAGATGACCATGAGCCTCATTAAAGTACTAAGTGACATCATAAACAAAAACAGACGGCTGCCGATGGTCCCACATAATGAATGTGCGTCAGTGCTGGCCCTGGGTCTGGAAGCGAGGGAGGGCAGCCTGCTTACTGCCTCCTTTTCTGCAGTAGAGTGCTCTGTAGAAGCCAGCACAGCATCCCTGTGACTTCCCCATGTATCTGGCTGAAAGTGGGTGTTTGAGAGACAGAGTCCTGCCAAATACACTTTCTTATGATCCCCAAGCCCACATCTAAGAGAAGCTTAGACGGGAGGAGAAGAAAGCCCGACCTCCCAGCTCACTTAGCCACATTCCTCACCTTCCTCAAGGCCCTACCTAGGTCAGTGTACCAAAGCTAAGGATCAGTGTTCTTCTTAGGACAGATCTCTGATGCTTCTGTTTGTACATGGCAGTGATAGCCATCCTACCAATTCCTGAAAAGACAGGGATCTTCCTTCAAGTCAGGGCCAGGCCAACTTATTCACCTTTGTCCCATGCTTTCCAGTGCAGAGAGGTCTCTTTGGCAGATTCTAGTACCTCCTGCTCTTAGCCAGGCCAGGGTGAGGGCTGAGAGCTTGGAATGCTCACAGAAGCCTCGACATGCTGAGGGTCAGGAAGGCCAAGGAAAAAACGACTTGCAGGACACATGAGCTCTGTACAGAGAGCTCAGAAACCATTTATCTTTCCACCCTCAAAATCCTCAACAATTATTGTGGAGTTTGCTCATAAGTATAAATTGAACTCTGGATTTGATAAATCATTATGATGGTGCAATGTTAACTTTATTCAGGGAATCTCTGTATTCCTTAAACATTTATGTCCTTTCCAATGATAACAGTATTTTACTTGTCATTTTGAAATGTCAGGTTATTACCTGAAAGGTAACCTCATTTTATGGAATCAGATGGAGATGAAGGAGTATGGAATGCATAATTAGCTAGCACCTAAGTGTTGTGGATGGGACTCAACTCTGGTGGCTGTTTCCAAAGTAATGAGTCACTCTGACAGGCATGGGTGGGTCATCCAAGCCTCATCCCTATGGTGTTTTTTCCTACATGCAATGCCACAAATAACAGCATATTGGGAGCACCCTATCGTATAGCAGTACCCTCCTTCCACTTGGTGGACTCTGTAGGCAGGGGTGTGCACAAAGGCCCCAAAGGGGGAATGGCAACGGCACCACCCAGGGACTGGTACACAGGCCCACGGGCTCCCCATGGGCTCTATCTCACCTCTTCCAGCAGGAGAGCAAAGCTCAGCGGTTCAAGGGTCTTTGCCATTTTGTGGAGTGTCCACCATCTTCCTACTGGACTCATTTCTTGTCACTAAAGCTGCTGGGGCTCAGCCCACTGGGGCTTCCAGAAAAGCTGGGCTGTGCCCTGCAGGTCAGTGACACTGGGGCAGGTGGCTGGCAGAGGAGGGCCTGGCTGACGACTCTCCCCTCCCAGGTGGGCATCGTGCTACACTACTCCACACTCTCCACCATGCTGTGGATTGGAGTGACCGCCAGGAACATCTACAAGCAAGTGACCAAGAAGGCCCTGCCATGCCCAGGCGCAGACCAGCCACCGTTCCCCAAGAAGCCCCTGCTCAGGTACCCAAACTCACTCCTGGGCACAGCCCCCTCCATTCCCTGGGCCCGAGGAATCCCTGCCTTGGACATACTCTTTACAGGTCTTGCAAATTCCTACACCAATCAGCTCTGTGCCTGAGGATGATCTGATCCTCATAGGTGGCCTGGGAGCTGAATGGGGGTAGGGAGCTGGGGCGGCATGCAGGGAGGTGAGGGAGCGTCCAGAGATGGAGATTGGGGACCAGTGTGCTGGGGGTGAGGATGGGGACAGCATGGGGAAGGCAAAGCAGGGTCCTGAGTGAGACCAGGTGAGGCAGAGGGTAAAGCTAGGGTGAGGGCAGGGAATAAGGCTAAGGGGCAGTATGCTGGGGAAGGGGCTGAGAGAAACATGGGGGACAGAGCACTGCTATAACTGGAGCTCAGCTGCTCTGGGACTTGTGCGGCCATGTGCTGGGCATGTTCTTCCCAGCTGCCCAGTTACTGGCATGAGACCTGATGTACCCCCTAGGGTAATCATGTTGAAGACTGGTGGTTGTGACTTTGACTTTGGTTTACTTCCTGGTATCAGTGACTCTAAGATACCTGCTGTTTGCTAGTAGTAAGCCATTATGCACTCAGGCATAGATTTCAAGGTGACATTGGGCGAGAGTGAATTGGGAAAGGGGACCGACTCCAACTTGGCATTCCCTGCTCCTTCCTCAGAGGACTCATGGGTGGTGGTGCTGACCAGCAGTGAACTGCACGGACTGCTCCTGTGCTCTGAGGAAGTTTGCTGCCATTCACAGTGCTGCCAGGAAACCTATCAGCCATGCCCTTCCCCCTGGGCCTTCACATGCTGGAGTGTCTGCATGATGCAGGGTCCCTTGATCACTGGCATGCCTTGCCCCTCCTGATTCTCAGCCCCTGGGCCCCATGGATAGCCATGGACTCAGTGTACACACCTTCCATAGGTGCACACCCTCTGCAGATACAAACTCAGGGTGCCCTGGGCACTGAGGACAGCATCATCCTCCACCAAGTGCCTGCTCCTCTCTGCTGCTCTCTGGCCTGGCTTGGAGCTGGTTAGGGAATGTGCTGCCCCTTCCTGAGAAGACCAGGCAAGAAGCAGCTGGAGACCTGGAGTCTTTCCTTTCAGATTTCCTAAGGGGCCCTCCATACCCTGGCCCACAACCTCTGCCACCACCTCCTCAACCCAGTGCCCCACTTAAAGGCTACACTTCCCCGGGCTCCACAATGGGCATCCTTGGGTCTGCATCTCAGGCCCCAGGCCCAAAAGTTATATGTGGCCTGTGCACATCAACATTAACAGAAATTAGCTCATGAGTTCCAAGAACTTCTCAGCCCTGAAAAAATCCCCAAGATGCCCTTACAGGTGCATGTCCTACTTAGCCACACCCTTCCTGCTGGACCCTAGGTCACAACAGGCAGGGCAACCAGCTCCAAGGGCAGCAGGTCAGGGTCATTGTCTGTGTATAAAGGAACCCATATGTCCTGGCCCATCCTGCGAGTTTCCAACAAGAGATTTAAAAAATAAATGTCCCTGAGAGTCTTCTGTGGGAAATCAGATGATGCTATTTGGGCATTTAATATTTTAAGAAGCCCTCCCCTTCCTTCAATCCCACAGCTGGGTCTGCATGTGCTCTCAGAACATACCTCTGCTCAGCTTTGGGGGATGTATGCCCATTTCCTGGAGATTTCAAGGAATTTTGCAGATCTGAAGTCAATGAATACTATACAAGCCTGAATCCCCTTTCTGCATGAGCATGGTGTGTGTGTGTGTGGGGGGGTGAGTTGGAGGCCTTCTCTTCACAAGACAACTTGGTGGGGAGAGGGTACTGACAACCCCAAAATCCTCACAGGTGGGTTGGTAACCTGCCCTTGAGTCAGGACTTGGTCAAAAAAGAGGAGGACTCATTGAGGGCATCAGCCTTGGAAAGTCCAAACCTTTCAACTGAGTGGGCCTCATGGCCAAGGTTAAAGTCATCTACTCACTCCTCAATCCTGATGGAGGTTTCTGGTTTCTATGACAACCCAAACTAGAGTCTCAGTGGAGATTTTGTGACTTTAGATAGTGATTCGTCTGGTTTCATCTCCCCTTAGTCCCAAGATGTGTCCTCCATGTGTACGTGGGGCCTTTGGAAGCACTCCATGGCCAGCTGGGCCCTCAGGAAATGGCTGTTGGTCAAATGGGTGTTGGTCATGGGCAGAAGAATCACCCCACCCAGGTCTCCTCCCTGACAACAGGGGTATATATAGCGAGAACCCACACTGGAGCAAGGCCCATAGTATGGAGCCCAAGCCACACGAGCTGGGGAGCATGAAGAAAAGCAGCCAACATCCAGGCCTGGGTCCTGTGTGTGGACAGGTGAACAAGCACATATAGGACATGGAGTTTATATCCTGGGGACAAGTCATCAGAGGCCCAAACTCCCACAGATAAAGAGGCAGGTCATGTGTAGAACAGTTTCACAAACTGGGCCCAGGGTAGCTCACACAGGCTCTAGGCAGTCTGTCAGATCCCTGCTATGGGGACCACACTGGTCTGCAGACCACATGAAGAAGTATTACTGTTTTCACAGGACTAACTTCTGGTCTACAAGAATGGCCCTTCTTTTCACTTACTGAAATCTTTAATTTCTTCCTAAAATGCTTTATAATTTGGAGCACACAAATCGTACACCTCCTTGGCTAAAGTTTTTACTCTTTTTTTTCTTTGTAATATTATATAAATTGTATTTACTTTTCATTTCTGATTATTCATTGCTTATGTATAGAAATAGAACTGATTTTTGTGTGTCTATCTTGTATCCTGGAGCTTTGCTGAGTTGCTTTATTAGATACTATAGTTTGCTGTTAATTCTTCAAGATTTCCTATATATATAATGTTCATGTCATCTGTGTGTAAGGCAGTACCAATCTGAGTACTTTTCATTTCTTCTTCCTGCCTAACCACTTTGGCTAGAACCTCTGAATCAGTATTAATCTCTCTTTTCTTTGGGCAGTCTAGCAAAGGTTTGGCAACTTTGTTGATTTTTTTAAAGAACCAATTTTGATTTATCTGTTTTCTCTATTTTTCTATTCTCTATTTCACCTCTGCTCTGCTCTGATCCATATGATTCTCCTTCTTCCACTAGCTTTGGGTTTAGTTTGCTCTTCTTTTATTCAGTTCCTTCCAGTATAAAAATTAGATTATTGATTCAAGAACTTTCTTCTTTAATACAGATGTTTACAACTGTAAATTTCCCTCTGAGCTGCATTGCTATATCCCAAAGTGTATTATGTGGCTTTTTCATTTATCTCAAGTATTTTCCTTTGGATTTCTTCCTTGGCTATTGGTTATTTAAGAGGCGTGGCTGCAAGTTGAGTGTGATTCAGTTCCTGACCCTTCAGTCCTGCCTTGGCCTCTGTAGGTTAGACACTACCCGGAGCCTAGTGTGAGCCTTAGGCCAACAACACAAGTGCTGCCCTCAGCTTGGAGGAGGGTTCAGGAGAGACAGTCTTCAGATGGGGTCTCCAGAGAAAGAAGACTTTCTCAGTGTGGTGAGGTCAACCTAGGACAGAGCAAGATGTGCCCTAAAGAAGGAGTGGTGTTGGAAGAAGGGAGGGTAAACCTTGGGAGGCAAGAAGGTAGACCCTAAGAAGACAGATGCAAGTGATGGGCAGCATTGGACTCCACCCATCCAGCTCATGGGAGGCACTGCTCTAACTATCCCAGCACCCCAAGGATCCCTTCTGATTCTAGGACACTTCACCTCCATAGTGGCCCTCCATAGTGGCCACTGTCACATCTGACACCCTAAGCTCTTGCCCATGGGACTCTTGCCCACAGCCTAAATACACTGTGGCCATTCCAGGATCCACATCATTCTAGACTTTCAGACATACGGATCCCACCGACACCCCCTCCCAGATGTCACCAGCCACCTCAAGTGTGACCACAAGGAAATAGGACTACCCTTCCCAAGACCACAACAATGGTATTTCTTTTCTGTGTCATCAGAGTCTGTCAATTAACTCCTGCTCATTAAATGTTGCACTATGAATTAGTCAGCCTTCAGGACCGTGTATATTTTAAATTAGCCTCTGGGGAATCATTGCAGTGTCTAGTCTGAGCCAGACGTTGTTAAACAACAATGTGTAAATTCTGCCTCCTGGGGTGGGTGGCCAGCAGGATTAACTACCCTTGTGGGCAGGCAGGGACCCATGGCTACCCACCATAAGGAGCAGGCCAAGACTCAAGACACAGAGGCATAGCCTTCCTGAACATGGTTCCTCTATGCACCAGGTCATGTGACAGGGCTGCAAGGGCAAAAGCCATAATGAGCAGGGTCTGGGAGGTCCAGGGAAGGGCCTCAAAATTGTTGCTCTGAAGGATGGGAACACAGAAGACCTGTTCCCCTACCTCCTGCAGCAAAACACAGCAAGATGTGAACTATGTTTCCATGCAGGGAGACTGGCTCAGACCTCCTCAGGGTTCTTACTGGAACTGGCCACAGGTGCCTCTATCCACTGACTGGCCACAGGCTCAAATCCTGCAGGCTTTGAGGCAAGCACAGGTGCTGAGCACACAACACACTGTTTGCATACATAGCCTAGAGAGCCGAGTTGCCTCTGCTGGTAACATCCCAGAGGCCAAGTTCCCAGACTCCCACCAAGAGCCAGCCCTGGAACAGGCCCCTCACGTAGCAACTTGGGACCTGAGGACACTGCCCCCCGCCCAAGGCTTGCATTCTACAGGGAAGCTGTTGGATCTGTCCACTCCTAACTACCTGAATGAGAAGAGAGAGGAGAGTTTGAGAGAAGGAGATTGGGTAAGAAACTGAAGGAAAGAATGAATGTAGTACTGTGTCCCCCAAGCTGACCCTTCTTTACAAAGCAGAGACCTACTTAGACCTTCACAGCAAAATTTCACAGTCCAGACTTGTTATTTCCCTGAATTCTCATAACCACAGACAAACCACTTCTCTGTCTGTCTTCAGTTTAACTGCTCAATCTTGTCACCACAGTCAGGACCACAGGAC